TAAGGGTCTGGAATTTTGCCCAAACCCAAAAATTAACAGTTACCCAGCCCATGATCAGGTCTAAATGTGACCGTTAGCACTTGCAACAAAAAGGAGACCGCTAGAAAAACAATACAGAGGATAAAATTGAGTTTATCATAGAAACTTAATGTGCATGAAAAACGGCACTGACCATTTCTTTCATTTATGTTATATGGGGCCATCATACAAGGTATATCTAAATTATAAATTATTCTAAACAATTTTAAATAATTTAGTCAAAAGAAATGATATATTTCAAATAATCAACTCAAAGAGGGTATATGAACATTGATAAGAATAAGGAAACCCAAATTTGTTTCAAAATCGCATCAATTCCAATTTGGTTCATTAACAAAGGTAGTGCACTGCACTGGTCTCACATCTCTTTTTTGAAAATGACAACTACTTGTTAACTAAGGCAGACCCATCTGAATGACTTACCTTGCTGATGCTATTCACAACTATGAGGAGGCCTCGTGGCAGTAGGTAAACCTTGCAAAATCTGAAACTTTTTTCATCTTTAACCTTCATCAAATACTACAGAAGATGTTAGCAACATCTCTGGGAATGAAGAAGGCAATCAAACTCTCAGTGTACTTGGGTCTCCAAACAACTTTTAGTATATCAAAGAAGGTTCTCTTTAATAATCTAATTGAAAAAAACAAAGAATAGGACTAGGAACTGAAAAGAGATGCTCCTCTCTCGAGTGGGGAAGGAAACTCTACTTAAAGCTGTGGTAGTTGCAATACCAACTCATCCCATGTCCTGTTTTTTGCTCCCAAAAGCTGTTTGAAATAAACTCACCCAGCTCCAAAGAAGATTCTGGTGGAATAGAAAGATCCATTGGGTCAGCTGGAAAAAGCAAGTAGAAGCAAACTAGGTGGTGGAAGAGGTTTTAGAGGCCCCTTTTGTTTTAATTTAGCCTTGTTAGCAAAGCAAGCCTAGAAATTGTGCTCAAATGAGGAGAGTCTGCGTGTTCAACTAATTTGAGCCAAATACTTAAAAGGTAGAAGTTTCCTCTCTTCAAATCTCCCTAAAAGAGGGTCATCTGGTTGGCAGAGTCTTTTAGCATTAGGGAAGTCCTCAAAACAGTAGTTTGTTGGGCTATTAACAAAGGATAAGGGATTAAAATCTGGGGACCCCTAGCTTCCTGGAGTCCCAGTGTTCAAAGTTCAAGTTCAAGGGCCAAGGCCCTTAAATGAAAAAATGGTAGGAGCTGGAATGAGAATCTAATCATGAATGCTTTCGGTGAGATTTATGTTGATAACATCATAAACATTCTCTTGGCTGCTAGAGAATGGGAAGATAAATTGATGTGGACTCTAAATGTTAATGATTATTTCTCTGTTAAATCAGCCTATTATGTAGCTAAGACACTTCGTAAACCCGAGTTAGAGGCTCTTGGTCTTAACTTAAATAACCATGGCGGGGGTTTAGTAGGTAAACAGCATTGAAAACAACTGTGGAATCTAAAAATCTTTGAAAATGCTGTTGGAATGGGTTAGCAATTAAAACCGATTTGTTAAAAAGGAGAAATAGGGAGTTTTGGGATGTGCCCTTTATGTAACAAAGAGGAGGAGACTATAATCCATTCCCTATTGCACTGTGACCATGCCAAAGCCTCTTGGTTTGCAAGTAGTTTAAATGTGAAAACAAAAAATTTCCCTATACTCAGTGTTTTTTGTTATTGGTTTAAATGGTGGTTAGGGGAGTCAAAGTCCACAGGTCAAAGGAAAGAGTTTTCTCCAAGAATTAGTGCTTCTCTTATGGGCAATCTGGAAAAGTAGGAATAATTTTATATTTAAAAACATTGATATGAATCCAACACATACTATTACTGATTTTTACAGGATGAAAAGGGGGAGGAACTTGACTTCCCCACAAGAATGGTACCTCTCTTCCCAATCCCCTAGAAAGGAGGAGGAAGACACTTCTTTTTGGAAACCTCCAGTTAGGGGTGGAATTGAGTTGAGCCGAGCCGAATAGTATGAGGCTCAAGATCGGCTCACCAAGGTTGTGTAAGGCTCGAGCTCGATTTGAGTTAGAACATTGAGCTCGAGCTTGGCTCAAGTCAAAAACTCAAAAGCTCGAGCTCGGCTCGGCTCGAGCTCAATTTGAGGAAAAATGTTTTATAAAAATAATATTTATATATATATTATTTTATATTAAAAAATTATTATATATTATTTTCTATAATTTTATTATATATATATATATATATATATTCGAGCTCGGCTCGTTTATTAATCGAGCCTCTAAATTGGGCTAGAGCTCAGCTCGAAACTCGATTAAAACCGAGCCGAGCCGAGCTTGGCAATGAGTAGCTCGTGAAAAGCTCGGCTCATTGCCACCCCTTCCTCCAGCACTTGGTTTGATTAATATTAACACAGATGGAAGTTTATTGTCAGAATGTAAAGCAGGCTATGGTGTAATCACTAGGGATCAAAATTGGCAGGTGCGGACATATCTTTTTGGAAAATTGGAAAGTGCGGACATATCTTTTTGCCATGCTCCAATGTCTAAAGCTCATTCTTAGGTGTAATCACCCAATATGGGTGTTGGATTTGGTCCAGAAGGATTTCTCTGATGTTGTTAGTTCTTTCTAATTCTGTTTGTAACAAAAAAAAAAGATTTATTAACATATTTTGATATCCATTTTAAAGTTGGATAAATCTGTATAAAACATATAAAATCTCTCTATCTCTCTCTCATATATATATATATATATTAAAAGAAGGAAGTATGAGAATTTTTTCTTTTTTCTCTTTTTCTTTATTTTTTTATTCTGTGTCATTTTTAAAACAACCAATGAGAAGCTCTCCTTTCCTATAAAAATTACCTAAAATCTTTCTCTCCCATAGGTTCCCAATAACCTAAATAATCTCCTCTCCTAAAATTTCTCCCAAACTACCTCACCCACTATTCCTCACTTTCTCCTAAATTATCTCTAATTTAGTAGAGAGTTTCTCTCATAAATTATCTCGAATTACTATTTATCCTCTCCCATACTTTTTATCTATATCTATCTAAAGAAGGTTTGAATTAAACAATTTAATAATTATTTAAATATTCTAACTAAATTATATAATAATTTTAAAATATTTAATAGAAACACAAAAAATAATTATAATAGATTTAAAAATATTCATATTATTAATAATTTTATATTTTTATTAAATTCATCAGAAAATTATGTACTAACAATATAAAATTATGGTTTTTTGGACCATTCAATTTAAATGTTATTCAAATAATAATATTATTTAAATATCTTAAATAACAAATGTTCAATATTTTGAATAATTTACATATTATATAAATATTTAAGTAACTAAGTATTTTAAATAAAAAAATATTTAACATGACTAGATTTTAAATAGTTAAAATAACAGAATTATGTAATAAATTTAAAAAATTCTTAAAAGTAGAAAAAATTATAACATAATATTCAAATTAATAATAATTTAATATTTTACAGACTTAATAACGAAATTTTGTAATAATAGTGTAAATTGTAATTTCATGGATTATAAATTCAATAGATAATTAATATTTTAAACTTTAAATAACTAAATAATATTGTAAATAACGAATTTCACTTATATCAATTAATAACTATAAAATAACTTTCAAATATTAATATTTACTAATAATAATTTTAAAATCTTAATCTATATTTTTATATATTTATTCTATAAAATAAAATTTCAATAATTATGTATAAATCTATTTTTGCTTTGTTATTTAATAGGAATTTTTTAATAATTATTTGAGATTAAATTGTTGTTATTTAAATTTTTAAATTTAATTCAATCTACTTATTACATTTTGTTATAATTTATTGATTAATATTTATTAGAGATTAAACTATTATTTGAGATTACAATATTTATTGACTAATTTAATATATTTTTAGTATTTATTGTATTTTCATTATCAATATATTTTTGATAATATAATTGTGTATGTTCGCTATAAATTTTCAATAATTATTGTAGATTAAACTATTGTCACTTATTAGAGATTAAACTATTAATTTAACTAAAATTATGAGTGTTCACGGGTTGGTTCGATTCGGTTATAAGTTGTTTGGCCAACCAAATCGACCTGGTTAGGTTGGGGAGTTTATCACCCGAAACCAATTGATCGACCATTAGTGAAAACCAGCCAACTTAGGTTGTACCGGTTTGGGTCGATTTTTTGTTATGTTGGTCAGTTCAAAAGATTTAAACATAAAAATTTAATTTAAAAATTAAGTTTAAATTTTAAAAAATATATTGGCAATCTTAAAAATAAAATTAAAAATTAAATTTATGATATAAAATATTTTAAACTAAGAAATATATGAATTTCCCCATTTTCTTATATTAAAATAATATTTAAAATATAAAATATTAATATATATCTATGTCGTTTGATTTTGGTTAGATTATAAATGGCTAAAGCAAAATAGATCCAACATGGTCAGGTTGGGAAATTGTTAAACCAAAGCCAACTGAAAATACTAGAAAACTGACCAACTCGGGTCAAGTTGGTTGGTTTTATTAGTTTAATAAACAACCATAGCTGAAATTAATTATTATTATTTTGTATTGTAAAAAAACTATTAAAACTAATATGTAAAATACAAATAATCATTAATTATTTAAAAAGTTTAAAATATAAAACAATTGTATACTCTTATGTATTTCTATTATTTAATTTTCACTTAACAAATTCAGTACATCGCATTGATCCCCGCTAGTTAAATATAAATTAAGAAAGTATATGTTGTAGATAAACAACACTAGGCTCCAAATTAAATTCTACGAAGATCATAACATTAGCATGTATGCATGTGAACATTTTTTAATTTTTATTGATAAAGTTGGGTTAAGAACTTAAGATTGACCCGCACTCGGAATGTTAAATTGAAATAACGTCGGATTAATTCGGGTCTTCGGGTCAAGCAGATCAATTTTCACGTTTTGGGTTTTGTCCAGCGTTGTTTGTGGTCACCGCCAAAATTTGCAGTAATTATTTTCAGCGGTTCGCTGAGGCCAAACAGGTACGTCTGAGCAGGCCTTAACCATACAAAGCTTCCCAGAAGAAAACCCCGTCGATCTCCTCTTCATCTCCACAATTATCGAGTGCTTCTTCTCTTCCTCTCTCGATATCTCTAATGGAGAAAGAAAAAAGTGCGGCGTTGGCGTCTTCTCTGCAGAAACTACATCTCGATTCGGAACCCAAGCCCAAGGCGATTAAATCATACAGTTCGTATCCCTTGAACTTTCTCCATCTCCCTCTGCCCAAACCGAGGAAATTGTTTGTGTCGTACGCATTTCATTTCTTAAGTCTTGAATCCCGATATTTAATTTGATCAGTATAATTTAATTCTTATCGCCCCTTTCTTTCACAGAAAACCCAATATTATAATATCATTTGAATCTTCGTATAGAATTCGGTTACTTTTATTACTACTATTACATTTGTTATAAAATTTGTTTATCTATTCAATAATTCAAATACCCGTATTTGTATTGAAGGGATTTTTTTTTTTTTTTGATTTAGTGTTCCAACGTCTAATTTTAATTAGTTTCTTGTAAAGGCTGTTTTAGTCTTCCTTATCCCAATGATCGTACTTGGATTCCCTTAATGTAGATTTTGATTGCTTTAGGTTTTTAGTGCATCGATCTTTGTAATCTACGTTGTCGTTCTAGTTTAGTCTGCTACTCTATTCTTATTTGGTATTGCAAAGGATCGGTTATTTATTCGTGCAGCAACGTGTGGAATTTTAGAAACAATGCAGAATTGCAACAACTTCATGTACTATCTGTTGAACTTTTGGTCGTCTTTATGTTAGTATTTTGTTCCCGTTTTTTCTTGATTCAACTCAACTCAGCCTTAACAGAAAACATGGTTCTTTAGAAACAGATTGAGATTTACAACGGCTGCACGTACTATCTATTGAGACATCGCTTTTTATGTATTTTATTTTATTTTTTATGTTAATATTTTGTTCTCGTTTTCTCAACTCAACTCAAATCAGTCTCAACAGAAAGCATGGCTCTTGATGGAGCAAAATGGCAGGACAAGGTTCATGTAGCCGACCCCAAATAGTTCAAATTCCATGTTTTAGAATTGCCTCAGTAGTGGCCTTTAGAGTTAATATTATCAATAACTTATGTTGACATTTTTTTTTTTTTTTATGAATAACTTATGTTGACATGTTCAGCTTTATCATTGCAGGATCCCCTTTTGAGAAGTCTAAGCCTGGGAGTTTAGTCAGCTTATGCCTTGGGCTCTTAGGCCGACATTTTGAGGATATTATTCTGGACCTCACAGAGATTGCTGCAAACTTTCCTCCTGACATTAGGGTATTATGACGAAGTAACCAATTGCCCAATTAATACTTTTTTTGTCACTTACATCTCTCTCCTCTTTCTATATTGGTGGGTATTGGACCAATTAGTGAACATCTATAAATATAAATACCATATCATTAATAGTTGTCATGAAATTGAAACCTATCTAATCATGTTAACAATGATGTTATCTTTATCCATGTCATACTCTTGAGCACATTTGTAGCTATATTTCTTCATAAACAATGTAAAGATTTGAGGTTGGATTAATAGATTTTCAAACACATCCCTACAAGAAAAGTATCCTTGGTATTCATGATATTATTATTTGGTAGAGAAGATTATCATAGAAACATAGGGGGTACTTGATAATATTTTGAATAGCTGAATTAAATGACTTTTTCTCTGTTTTTGAGTGGCAAAATAGTCATATATTTATCTAATGGCATATCAATCAACCAATGTGCCATTCAGTGATTAAGGAGCTCACAACCTAGATAATGACATTTAATAAAAGTCAAATTAGTAAGTCATTCAGCTGAGCCACTTCAGACGTTATTGAACAACTAAGAGAGGCAGTTAAAACAAAATCCTTAGTTGAAGCATCTATGCCTTTTTTTTTTATCAGTAACAAGAAACTTTATTAATGATGTGAAACTATGTGAAACTTTAATTGCAACAAGAGGGGGGAGGTAAAATGTCTTAACTCCCCACCAACAAAGTACATTAGAGGAAAGTTAAAAATTAGCCCAAAATATAGATTCCTTATTCATCCCTTGCTTGGCTAACCCATCAGCAATTGAGTTAGCAGTCCTTTTCACCCAGCTGTATTGCATTACCATATCCCTACTCAGCCATTTGAATTTTTTCCTCTCATTGTTATACCTCCACAAACCACTGTCTTTTTCTTTTAGCCATCTAATCACCACCTCTGAGTCACCTTCAAGGACCAAACATCTGATGTTTCAAATCTTTCGCTCTTCGGATACCTTCTAGGGCTGCAAGAATCTCAGCCGTAAGAGGGTCTCCTTCTCCAATTGGGCCTGAGAACATGACAATAATAACCCCATCCTCATTCCTAAACACTCACCCAATCCCAAAAGGCCCTGGATTCCTTAAGCAACTATCATCAAAATTCAGTTTTATGAACCCATAGGGAGGAGGGTTCCAAGAAGGACTACGAGTCCTCTTACATAGGGCAGAGGTAGCTATCTCTTTCCAATTTCTTACCAAATCAGCCACAGAATAACATGAGAACAGCTCCATAGTTTTCAGCCAGTGGACTACCCTTACAAGAATTATATCTAATAAATCTTCCAGGGTTCTTTCCTTATCTGAAAAGATTCGGGAGTTTCTTTCTTCCCATAGGGACCAACACACTGCTGCCCTAATGCTTCTCCACATAATCTTCCCTCTTTTCTTCAGCCATCTAAAAAATGAAGAAGAGAACAAGCTTTGGACACTCCCAGGGGGAGTCCAAATACCCCCAAAGAGGGATAAAGCCCACTCCCATACTGTTTTAGTGACCGAGCAAGTAACCATGAGGTGGTAACCAGTTTCCCCATCAACTTTACAGAGAGTACATCTAATAGGAAGTAAACAAGAGTTGGGTCTCTTTTTTTGAAGTAGGTCATTTGTGTTAATTCTTTCCAGGAAAGTTTCCCAACAAAAGCTACCAACCCGAGGAGGAACGGGCTTACTCCAAATTTCTTTAATTGGGAAGGACAACCCAACAGGAACAGAAGGTTGAGTTAATCTCTTAAAAAATGAAGCACATGAGAAAGTACCAAAGGAGGAAGGGGTCCAAAATCTGGTGTCCTCCTTATTAGGGTCCAAGAAGACATTTCGAAGGATGGCTAACAGAGACATGATGCATCCCAAGTCTGTATCCCTAATTGCCCTTCTTAGGCATAGGTTCCACCCAAAACTAGAAGAAGAAACAAAAGGGCTTAAGAAGGATGAGATGGGTTCATGTTTCAAATCTGACAGAGCATACAAAGAGGGAAATTGGTCCATCAAGGGTGAATCCCCAACCCAATGGTGTTCCCAAAATTTTATTCTATTACTAGAGTTAAGACCATACCTGATCCAAGGGAAGAAAATTGGAAGCAAATCATGAATGGTTTTCCAAGGAGAGGCAGCTGTCGCATTTGCCGTAATTCCAGGTTCCCAACCATTGTCTTCCAGCCCATGTATGCTAGCTACAATCTTTGTCCACAATCTATCTTTTTCCAATGGAAACCTCCATAACCATTTCCCCAACAATGCCATGTTCCTTTTCCTGATATTTCCAATCCCAAGGCCTCCTAGCTCTTTGCATCTAGTTACAACCTCCCAATGCACCCTATGGTCCTTTTCCTCACCTGGCTTCCACAAGAAATCCCTCATTAATTTTTCCAAAATGTTAGAAACCTTTGTGGGGATCTTAAATAYTGACAGRAAGTAAACAKGTAGGTTAGCAAGGGTAGACCTAATCAAAGTGACTCTCCCCCCTAAGGAAAGATAATTCTTCCTCCAAGAAGCAAGCCTTTTTTCAAATCTCTCCAATACCGGGTTCCAAAAGCATTCCTTCTTAGGATTATCTCCTAAGGGGAGGCCTAAGTAAGTCAAAGGCCAGTCCGAGATTGCACAACCTAATACACCTGCATATTCACTTAGCTCCCTCTCCTTCAAATTCACACCCACCATACTGCTCTTGTCAAAGTTCACCTTGAGATTAAACATCTGCTCAAAGAGTTGTATTGCCAATTTTAAAATTCGGATCCAATTTATGTCCCCACCTTCACAAAACAAGATTGTGTCATCTGCAAATTGCAGTGTGTAAGTGGTACCTCCTCCCTTCCCACTCTCCATCCTTTTACTAAATTCCTCGAGTCTGGCCTATGGATCAATCTCCAAGGACATCCGCAATCAAAGTAAAAAGAAAAGGGGATAGTGGGTCTCCTTGTCTTATTCCTCTCGATGCGGGGAAGAAGTCAACCACAGTTCCATTCACCAAGATAGAATATTGGCATCTCCTAACACAACCCCAAATCCATTTATACCAACTATCTCCAAATCCAAAACCTTTCAACACCTCCAACAAGAAAGACCAGTCAACCATGTCATAAGCCTTCTCTAGGTCTAGTTTGCAAACCACTCCCTTCTTCTTGGATTTTCTAAAGCTCTCCAGACTCTCATTTGCAATCAAAATTTGATCAGTGATCTGTCTACCCTTCACAAATGCTCCTTGGTTGGGTGCAATAATGGTAGGAAAAACTTTCTTTACCCTTAGAGACAACACTTTTGCAATTATTTTATACAAACTGTTCACCAGACTAATAGGTCTAAAGTTCCTTGGTTGTGATGCCTCTTTCTTCTTTGGTACCAAAGCAATGAATGTGGTGTTCAAACCCGGATTAATTATTCCCCTTCTATGGAACTCCTCAAAAACTGACCTGAGATCCTTCTCCACAATATCCCAACAATCCTGATCAAAAGCCATTGTGAAACTGTCTGGACCTGGAGCTTTTGTCCTATCCGTAGAAAAGACTACTTCCTTAATCTCCTCCATCTCAAATCTCTTTTCTAACCACTCTCTGTTTTTTGCACTTAGAGTCAACCATTCCAAACCCTTCAACCAAATCCTTTCATTTAAGAGTCTTCTAAAAATAGATTTGAAATGATTTACAAAGGCCTCTATTATTTCTATCGAGTGGGATATGACTGCTCCTCCTACTTCCAATTCTGAGATGAAGTTCTTCTTTCTCCTACCATTTGCCATCGAATGGAAATATCTAGTGTTTCTGTCCCCCTCCTTTAACCATTTACACTTAGATTTCTGTCTCCAGCTTATTTCCTCCTTAAGCAATAAATCCTCCATTTGCCTCCTTAAATTCCATTTCCTCTCCTTTTCTTCTTCAAAAAATCCCCTTTCTTCCTTCATATCTAGTTCCTCTATTTGCTCCAGCAAGATTTGTTTTCTTTCCTCTACTCTTCCAAACTCCATCCTGTTCCACTCCTTTATTTGGGATTTTAGGAATTGAAGCTTTTTGTGGAATTTACATTCCTTCCATTGAACTGGTGGATTAAATTGCTCCCACCGCTCCCCGATTTTCTCAATAAAGCCTGGATGGATCAACCACATGTTTTCAAACCTGAAAGGGGCTGGTCCATTACCTCTCATTTCCTCCTTACACATCACTATAGGCCAGTGGTCTGAGGTAAGTCTAGGAAGTGGCCTAGATGTTAAATTACCCCAATGTTCCTCCCAATCTGTAGAGGAAAGAAACCTGTCCAGCTTAAAGCATATTGGACTTGATTGAAGGTTGGACCAGGTGAAGGTATTATTTAGAAGTGGAAATTCTTTAAGCTCAAAAGTATCCACAAACTGATTGAATTTCTTCATATTTGTTGTCACTCTCTGTCTAAGGTTGTTGGTTTCTTTTGTGAATCTCACTACATTAAAATCCCCTCCCAAACACCATGGTCCTTCCCAGAGGCCCCTAATATCACTCAGTTCTTCCCACTGTTTCTTTCTTTGCCTATGGTCATTGGGGCCATAAACATTTGCTAGCACCCATTCAAAACCATCTTCCACTTGCCTGAACTTCATAGAAACAGAATGATCACCTATTAACTCCTCCACTCCTATTAGCACATCTTCTTTCCACAATGTTACAATCCCACCTGAGGACCCCCATGAGGGAGCAACTGCCCACTTTATCCCCCTAGCTCTCCAAACACTTGTTGCCCATCTGCAATCGAAGTCCATTCTTTTGGACTCCTGAATTAACACTACATTTGGATTAAACTTCTGAATCACCTCTTTAATTGTTGCTCTCTTCCTAGCACTACCCAACCCCCTTACATTCCAACTTAGAATTCTCATTTCAACTTTGTAAAAATAGCCCTAGTACCACCAAAATCTATTTAAGCCCTTTCCTTCTGTCCCCTCTCATCCCAAACTTCTTATCCCCCTCGATATCTCTTTTTAATCTCTCCACTTCACTCAATTTTCTTTTCTTAATCTTAGTATCCTCCTTTTTTTGTAGGAAGGCTTTTAAATCATTCGGGTTCTTCAGTTTACACCCCAGTTTTCCCACAAATTCTGCAACTGAATCTTCCCTACAAGTTTCCCCTTTTCCTAGTTTTCCAATATTTCCACTGCTAATCCTCTCCTCATTCCTTACTTCATTCTCTCCACTAGGAACCCTTTCTGCCCCATATGTATCCTCCCTTTGCAATTCATTCCTCTCCACTTCACCTATTATTCTCTCAATGATTCCCCAGTTCCTTTTATCCCTGCATGTTATTCCTGCAAATTCCTCTCCTTCCTTCTCCCCATGTATCCTCACTATGGCTTCCTGTCCATGGGCTTCTGACTCTTGGTTGAGAGGGGAATCTGGAACAAGGGACACAGAACACTCATCAGTAGCAAAAACTGAATTGACAGTGTTCACAGAGTTACCTAAGTTCAACCGAGGGTTGTGAGAAAGGGGCCAATAAGTATTGTTGGTTTTCAATCCCTGTAAAGAGCATTTGGAGCTTTCTGTCTCCTTGGATTGGAGGGAACTATTCCCTGTCATATGGTCTACACAAAGACCTTTTCCCTTACCCAATTGTTCATGTCTCTGTGATGTACCCTTGTTCAGTTCTGGTGTTATCTGGAGCTATCTCCTCAGTTTCTTGCAGGGTGCTAAGACTAGGTAAAGGCTTGTCTGTTTTTGGGCTTTGAACTACCCTGTTGATGATTTTTGTGTCATTCACCGGAATCTCCAAGTTCTCCTTTTGTACTCCCACTGTATTTCCAAGAAAAAGCTGCTCCAAGTTTAAAGACTCTCTCTGTTTTGGTTTTCGTGGAGTCTTTCCTCTTCCGAACTATCTATGCTCACAATCTCTTCTGAGCTCCCCTTTAAACCACTTGCTGAACTGTAACTTATCCACCCTTGGTCTTCCTCCTCCCTTTCTTCTATTTTGTCTCTAACGTAGCGTGGGTTTGGGTGATCAACTATACTGAACGCCTGCTCATCACCATCCGGCCGATGTATCCAGTTCAATCAAGTTCCTCTTTCTGTTTGCATTTTCTGCAACTCATTTCGTTTGGTTGAAACCTTCCTAGAAGAAGATAGATGGAGATTCTCGTCTACTAGCTCTTTTAGCCGCTATTGATGCCATTGTCACGTGGGCCACTATTGATGCCATTCGGTCCATGTGTTGGTTCACCCACTCCCAGCCGGTTCGGATATAGCTTCCCTGTTGAAACTCGCTGACTCATTACTCCTGGCCATGTCAGCATAGGGAGGGCCACCTAAAGACCTTGTTTTTAATTCAACGAATTTTGAATTAACCACATTAAATGGTAAGCTTCGAAGCTTGGTAATCCCCTGCGTCTGTTCATTTTCTTCTTTTACTCTACCATGCGCTACAGGTTTCTTAGCCATTCCCTGGGAGCCACGTGTGCTCCAGCCTGCAACCTCAGCTTCATCTCCTACCTCAGTTCGTCTTCCCCAGAGAGACGCTTCACCTTCCGATGACAACCACATTTTGTACCAGACACCATCTGAGAGTATGTCAAATGAACGAGGCAGGTTCTCCGGCTTAATCCCTGCAACTTTGAGCTCCACAGCACGCAAGCTTCACAGGTTTAAATCCAGCAGAACACCACCTAGGGCTCTGACGATTCTTCCTATGGTCGGTTTGTTCCAGAGATTAAATGGAAGCCCTAATAGTTTGATTAGGAGACTGCCATTTTTTGGCTCTACTTCATTGCAAATTGGAACCCAGTTTTGAATTTGTATCAGCCCTCCTATTTGGACTGTATTGAAGTTCAGTTTCTCATTGCCGGTATCAAGGATGGCTTTCTTCTCGGAAAACGGCAATAAGACAGCTTCGCCTTCTAGGCCCAGTCTTTCCGCAACTGCATCAAAGACTTTCGTCCAATCCCTTACAGCCTTATCTGCCATTAATACCATTCTATGTTCCCATTTGCCTCTCCCTTCTTCAAGTGCTAACTTCCGATGTCCAGTTGAACTTGCTACAAAAATTTCTTGATAAGGTGGGTTTTGCTTCTTACAAGGCTCCGGAGTACAACTGTTCGTTTGAACACTTTCACTCTGCTTATTAGGTTCTTCTGCAACCTTCCTCTCGATTTCCAGGAGAAACACCTGAAGATTATCGGTGAAAGAAACCCAACCTTGTCCCATCTTTCCTTCCAGTATACAGATCATTTGTTTTTTGTTAGTGCCAAAGTGTTCTGTTACCATGATAAACCATCCTCTCCCATTCCTTCTCAGTACCATTTCAAAGTTTTTCCCACAACAGACCACCGAGTTTTCCAACCTTCTTCCGTGATGGTGTTTACTGTTCCATCGACAAAGCCTTTCAACCAGTAAAATGCTTCCTCTGGTAGGAATATTGTTGCCCTGCTGCCTTCTCTGATTTTCAGAAATGCTTTACCTCTCGTCCATCCCTGCTGGAATAAGAAGTTTTTTTCTTCAATAACCATCTCCAATCGCCACTTCCCCGCTGACCTGAAGTTTCTCTCCTCTCGTTCCATCTCAACAGGAAATGAAGAATTATCTGTGCCTTTAGATGTTGTCCAGGTGGTGGGCTTGTGATAAAACAAATTTAGGGACTAGATGGTACTTTTTGATGCTCTTGATGTTTGACTTGGTATCTTCTAAGTTTTGAGTCGTTGATTTGTCCAAGGAACCTTTTTTTTTGTAGTAAAATGAAAATTCATTAAAAAATGAGAAAAATATCTGAATCCAGAATCCACAACCTCTATCTTCATCTCAACCTCCTACATGCCAACTTGATCAATCTCAAGCTATCCCAGTCAAGCACCTTCAACCTCCTCCCTATCTCCTCCAGCTACTTCTGGGAATTCTCACTGGGTTACTAAAACTTCTTAGTAAGTAAAGTATTAAGATTTTCCATTATCTCCTTTTCCTCTAGCTTTCTATGTACTTCCCTGGCCATGGCTTTACCTCCTAAAAAGAATACCTCCAATTTCGTACCAACCTTTATTTCCTTTTTTTTTATCAGAAACCTTTAATTCTTTGCTTCAGAGGCCATTCCTACAATCTACTATAACAGACTCCACTGCTGTCCTAGAACCCTCCCTAATCTTGTTAGCACAATCCATGGCACTGTTGGTATTCCCCAACTTCTGTTATGTATAGAATCTCATTGTATAGAAGCTCATGTACATCTGTTTTACATTTTGAACAGAATGCAACACCATTCAGTTCTTAGAGGTAGGGGTGCAACTTGGGCAGGCTCAGGTTAGGATTTTGTTAAATTCTGAATGGGCCTGGCCCAGAAACCCAAGCCTGATGCAGTGTAAAATATTCAAATTGGGATACCCAACTTGCACCTCTACTTAGAGGAGTCCCTTGCAGTACTCTTCTAGTTGTTCAAGGATTTTTAACACTAGGGGGTGTCTGATCTTGGTTAGTGGCTGAAAATGAGGCCTTTGTTTATCAGATTATTCCATCTCTTCTTACTGGTGATACATTCTTGCATTGTGTAGGCTTGCATTCCAGCTTAAAACCAACAAAGGTCTGTTTCTTGTTGCACCAACATGGTGCCTAGGCATTGATGACATTTGTTGATTCATGGAGGCAATCAGGCAAAGAAGTTATTGTCAACCTTCAGTGCATTCCTGAAATAGTGAACCAACTACATTCCTTTCATCAATTTAAGTGTAGGTTATTTCCTAGGAGACAGAAAAAAGACACCATTACCCAACCAATCTCAGCCCACACCAAGCATAGGTTTATTTTCCTTTTATTTCCTTCCCCTTCTTCTTTTCCTTGCACCTTATTTCTCCTTTCTGATGGATGCAATACCATTGTTTGGTTAGTTGCCTGGTTTATATGGATGATAGGGACAGATGGTTCTTAACAGAATTCTCTTAGAACTCATTTAACATATGAGGGTTGTCTTGAAGCCTGAAGTAGGATAGTTGTCTTCATTGGGTTACTTATGGACGTACATGGCATTCCATCATCCAAAGGGAGTAAATTTAGCTGTATATATGCCTAAAGCAAAATTTCTTGTTTTAAAAAGGCCATTACCCAACATTGGTCCTAGTTATCTGGGGTCTTGAGAGGGGTGTACTTAATACAGTCTTAACCTTTGGCAGATAATGTCTGCTTCCATTCTTCAATATTTTAATTAGTACTTTATAGTATATCTTAATATGTAAAACAGAGATTTATCCATTTTGGCCACACTTGTAAATTCCAAAGGATCATAAATGGGCATAAGCACTGCTAGTGTAGCTACGATGACATCTTCTAAAAGATGTCCTAATTGGCATTTTGTTCCAAAGGAACTGCTATGGTTTTGTGAATCATTTCGAGTCTAGGCTGGGTTGGATGAACTAGATCTTTGTTGTTACCTTCCTAGTTCCTACAACTACAAGTTTCTAAATAGAAATTATGGATGACTCCAGTCTAGACCACAAGCTCTTCATAGGAAAAAAACAAAACAAAACAAATTATGAATTTTCGTTCTATTTTAAATTTTCTTTACAACTATTTTCTTCATTTGTGTAAATTTTTAAATTGTTTCATTGAACAACAGCTCGCAATGGCAGCAATTGCTAGGAGAAGAAAGTTATTGAATGATGAGGTGATCATATCTTTGGCTGAAAGTTCATGGGAAATCCTGGATATCTCTGGGTCAGAAGTTTCTGATTTCGGCTTGGCTAAAGTTGCAGAGAAATGTAAATTTCTTCGAGCTGTGGATATAAGGTCTGGCATCATATCTTTATCTTTTATTTATTTACTTAGATGTGAAATGTAATGCACCTAGCAGGTAGACAAAATATGTGAATGCTGATCTGCCTACATGCATGACTGCAAAAGGGTGGGCTTACACACATTGGTCCATGTGGAATTATGCTAAACATTTTGAATCATCGAAATTCTTCTGAATTATCAGGAATCGTCTGGTCTTTTTAGTCCAGAAAATAATTTCTATTAAATGGGCAGTTCCAATCATTCCATTTCTACATGATGAATAAATTCTTGAACTTCTATTTCTTATGGCATTAATAAACCACTATTGCATCTGACCAATGAGAAGTTTTTGCTAATTCTGCATTGTGTAGGCTGTCAAAAATTCATATCAAATTTGGGAAAATCTATGATGCTGGAAAGACATGATAACGGAAAGGGTTTGACCAATCACAAACCCCCATGGATTTTGATGAAAGTCCACCTGATTGGTTACCACTTTTATGATGCCGGTTGATTGGTTGTAAATTTTTTCAGTATCATGTCTTTCTGGCATCATAGTTGAACCCATTAAATTTTGTTTTGCTTCTGCAAATTTCTGTTTTTAGTGGGGTGGTTATTGTGCAGCCAGTGCAGCAATATTACTCCATTTGGTGTCTCAGAGCTTGTACAACATTGCCGTTCATTGGAGACATTAAGATGCGGGTATGCCAGTATGCTTCTTAATCTATATTTCAATTCTTTTATGTCGAATGGAATTTTTTGGGCATGTTTTTGCATATCCCTAGAGATTTCCTGGAGCCAAAGTTTTCTATAGTTTTAGATCACAATCTATGATTAGGTTGGTGAATGCCAAACACCTTTTTCTTTCTTTCTCTCTCTTTTTTTTGGGGGGGGGATTGGACTGGGTGGGTGGGGGAGGGATTGATAGTCCAGATTGATTTTCTAAGTTTGTCTTTTCTGAGTTGAAATTCCTAGATGAAATCTCACATATATTTGAAAGATAAGCCAATCTCATATGTGGGAAAAGATTAGGGGTGGCAAATGGGTGGGTTGAGTCATCAATGACCTACAACTCACTAGTGATCTATATTAATAGCTAGTTTGTGGGTCACAACCCACCCTAACCCACCACTCTCTTGACCTGTCTGAAAATTTAAAATTATGTAAACCATCTATAATGAGGAAAAAATTTTAGGTTTCAGATAAAAACCTAGAAATTGTAGAAAATGCATAAAATGATAAAATAAGTATATATTTCAACCAAAAATAAAAATTGCAGAAAAACATGAAATCAACTTTTGGGCATTTTGGAGAAGAAGATGTTGTCAATCATCGTCGACCATCGATCATTCACTGTGGTCGACTGGGGAGGAGACGGCGTGAGAGAGGTAGAGACCACAAGAAAGGGGAACGGAGGAGAGGATGTACATGCAGAGATCAGCATGAGAGGATTGGTGGCAAAGCATATGGTTGCCGGAGCCGGAGAGAGAGAGGAAGGATGGGCAAGGTAGTAACTGCAGAGGGAGCAAGTGGGGCAGTCAGAATTAGCGACGAAAGATAGGGAGGGGAAAAAAGGGAGGATAGATGTGAATGTGTTATCAGCTTTGTCTTCTTGCGGTGGAGATGTAGAGAGGCAGTGAGGAGCAGAACTGAAGACTGAAGATTACAAAGACTGATGATCATCATCATCCTTGAATCCTGTTTAACCATTCTGTTCTGTTTAATGCCATATCCATTATTAAATTTATGAGCTCTTAAATCATTTCTACTTTTTCAACCTAGTAAATAAGTTTGACCATCATTTCTAACTCTTTCAAATAGAAATTTCATCAATATACATATACTTGAAAGTTGAAACTATAGTATTTTATAGAAACATTCATAATTCCCTTCTAATGGCCTTTTTTCCTTTGTAAAATTCCCATGTCTGGGCCCCCTTCTTTTGTTTTTGAAAGGGATAAGGTATCATATACTAGAAAAGAAAAGGAAGAAAGTATACAAGAGGTATACAATAAGAAGTCAGCCTGGCAACTTCCAAAACACCACTCCCAACCCGAGCACACTTGCTCAAAGGCCACAGGCAACAAAACAAAACAACCACAAGAGAGTAACTAATCCAAAACCTCTAACTAGCCTAGACCCAGAGGCCAACAAAACGCACCCCAAACAACCATGTCCAAGCTGGAGGACAGCTGCTCTAGCGGGCCAAAATGTTTCTGCCTCTGCCTCTTCTGCTCCTCCCCCCGGTGCTGCATACCCCTCGGGACGGAGGAGTGACAGCCGGTAAGTCATAACAATCCATCAGAAACTTAGATTTTCTATTCCCGGATGGACACAATGAAGAAGCAGACGAGAAATCCAACCACAAGCTTTCTGTCTCTACTCTACACCCGTACCCGTTTCTGAATATAAATCATTCCGAGAGGTATGGGCATTCACCTCGTCGCTTAGGTGAATCGCTTTTGATGTTTCCAAAAGCAGACCCCGGCATCGCACCAAAGATCATTTGTTCTGAACTTGCTTGCGGAGATGCAGCAGGTGGCCACTGATTGGAAACCCCTTCATTGCACCTCAGAGCTTGGCAGGCCAAAGAATCTCCAAATCTTCTACTGCAATTCACACAATATACCTGACACCAGACACCACAATTTCTAAGCACTTTGGTATATCACGAACCGCCATGCTCCACACCAAAATACGGAGGCTTCGAGATTTTTCCAAGCTAGGTTGTTCGGATCCACAGAGATGAAGCCCCCGATTGCATCTCCAATTTCCTTGAAAACTGTCGGGCATCAAACTGAAAGTGGAACTCCGAATACTCTGACCCGCCACTTGCAGAAGCCGTGGCTCTGTCCTTGCGAACAACCTAACTGGGTCCATCACGTCAAGGAAAAGCGCATCCCGTTAAAGCAGAGATTTCGGGATTGAAGAGCTCCACATGCTTTTTCCTCTGAAGAAAAAATGATGAGCCACTTGCTCCCTTCGAGCCTTTGCACAGACGGGGTCTGCAGGTTCTGCCACCTGAGGGACGTCCAACGTTCTACCTCTTCACTTGAAGGGCAATCACCTGCAAAACGCAAAATCAGACATCTGTGCAGGAAGGTTTCGTGGTCTCGAACCCCATCCTTTGGCTACCATGACCTTGATCTCTCCTCCAATCACACGTACTGAAGCTAGACCTTCCTCTGAGATCCCAAACTCCGCCATTTAAAAAATGTGAGATTGTTCTCGTATTCTAATGCATCTTTCAACTGCTTCATTGATTTGAAAAGAAAACTAGAAATGAATTATGGATCAGGCCATTAATTAATCAATTTGGATGGTTCTGGGTCCCCTTCTTTTTAATCTTGTGAACCCACTTATAGTATTAAAATTCGATGAATCCCTTACAAATACCTCATTCATCTATATCTTTTTTTTCTTTTAAGTAATAAACATTGTTGGTCCTGTTATTAACCAGAAAAAGAAAAGTTTTATTTTTTCTGCTTTTGTTGGTATCTTACCATGGGGAGTTAGTCTGGGCTGTGTGTTTTTGACTAGGGATACAAACTTCATATCAGGCTATGAACCAAAGTTCATGGTTGCAGAGGGTGCCCCAGGAGTAATTACACTGCACGCAGATGCTTGAGTATTTTGAAGCCAAAACTAAATGATGTAGAGGAGGAATGTTGGGAGGATCTTGATAGCATGGATATTGCCAATGGGGCACAGTCACTGCGCTGGCTTGTATGGGTATGCACTCATTTACAGACAATTGTTTTTCCTCCTTTCTCCTGTTATACTTAAAAAAGTTGATACTCTTTTCTTACCAACAGGTTGCCTCTTACCTGTTTATTTCTTTATTTATTTTTAGATGTCAAGTGCATGTTTGGACTTCGGACAAATGAGACATATAAATATGGCACAATTTTCTTAAAAAAAATGGCACAATTTACTTATTACTCTCACCCTCCTTTTACTTCTTTTTTTCCTTTTTTTTTTTTTGGGGGGGGGGGGGGAGGGGGGAAGGTGACAAAAACTCTTTCCCTCTAAAGAGGTGCTGACACCATTTGTTGGCATCAAGCCTTGAATTGCAACCATACATATGGGCTCACAGAATGTGGTCAGCACACATTTAGGAACAATGTTGGCAACATTACCAATGTCGTTCATGTGTATGCCCTAAATAAACCACGTTTTCCCAGATTCAAAGCAATTGAATACTCAATTTGGTAAAGCAAAATTTAATACAATATCTCACTTTTCAAACAAAAAAAATGCTAAAACAAATTGTAGATTAACCCTTAGGAACACAGTTTTTACATTTGCAAACTCACAACATTAGTTACACATTAATCAACAAACAAAAAATAATAATGATCAAATTTCATATATGCTATATGAGTATGACACCAGGAATACAACCTCCATTTAAGATTGCATTGGTACAACTTTTACACTGCATAGGCCACAAGGATCTCTAAAGATCTTTCAAGTTGCAGACAATGAAATCTCTGTTTATCCATAGACCAAATATCACGTTCATCAGTAATTGCAACAATTTGTTTCATTATAGCAAGGGAACACAGATGAACGAAGAAAAGTATTGGGAAAGAAATTGAGATGCAGAAGGGCATGAACAAATGAGGTCCTGTAGTTTATCCAGTTTAATCAAGAGAATAGATTTGGCTTGATATTAAGATTATAGAGATAAGTATTTTTCTATTCATGACATTCCATTTTAGTGTTCCCTACATCGTGTAGTAAGATTGAGGGCAAAAGATCCATTTCATAGAGAATAAACTCCTAGGTAATATTTCTACTGAATTGGATTGGGTATGACTATGAGGATGAAGATGAAATATGCTTGTCAGCATAGGTAAATTGGTTTGTAGCTAATTGAGAAAACATCTTACAGTTTACAGTGGAAGAAGGAAGTGTTTTAGGCTTAGAAAAACTGAAGTTTAGCAATTGGATCTTTTAGTGTACTACTACAAATTGAAGTATATCAGAACTAGCCCTCATTGAACGATGTGTGTGCAAGAGAGTAAGATCATCTAGTTTGATCAAATTGTGGCCTAAAATGTCAATTTTTTGTCTTCCTCCTCGGTGTTTTTATCATTAATATTTTAATACCAACTCTTTAATATCTTCCATTGAGATGTTATTATAGTTTCTTTTGACATCCTTCACCATTTGTAATTTTTTGTGTACTTTCTGCAGCCAAAGATAGATGACGATTCGAGGGAGAGCTTGGCCGCTGAATGCCCACGGATTATAGTGAACCCAAAGCCATCACCCTTAGGCTTCAGAGGGGTCGAAGTTCCTAATGAAGCATTACCTGGCATAGCATTGGATGACCCCATAGTCAAAGACATTGACCCAAAGACATGGGAGGTTTGTAGAGTAGCTGCCCCAAGGGCCATTTTGCCTTCAACTCACAACCCCAATGAACTGCCCATGGCTGAGAGATTTAGGCTTGCATTTGTGGAGAGGGAAGCTCGGTTAGCACCAAAGAGGGCAAAGAATGCAAGGCAACATAAACGACGTGCAGATAGAGAGTGGGTAATGAGGAGTGCAGATGCAAAGTCTATAGCATTGGCCTCACAGCTGAGCAAGTCCCTGCATGGTCGAAGCTGATAAATTAACTTGTATATATTTGATCATGGTTTCTTTTTCAGTTGAGAACTGAATTGGGAGGGTGTCATTTGCTTGTATGTTTATTGTTTTGGTGTGTACAATAAAATTCTGGCATGCTGTGTACGATAAAAGAAGGAATTAGTTCGGTTGAGAGCGTTTGGATATTTCTTGACTTCTGGATTAGGTAGGTTATGAATTATGATGGCCAAGGTGGTTTCGCCGGCCAAAATTTTATCTGCCGTGCGCTCGGGAGAAACGGGAGGGATGAATCCGGTTGAATCGGACAGAAAAATACAAAAAATTAAAAGAATCCATGCATCTAACCATCTAGGGACAATCGCAGGCTTTGAAAAGGAGAAGTTTATAGTTTCTTTTAATGGCTGACGCAATTGTTTTTAGGGCCAGCTTGTGCAGCTATTATTGAATACATCTGAAAGCCCTTCTCTACTGTAATATTAATATTCCTTTTGTTCTTATCTTCTTATTCCTTTGTATGAATTTGGGCCTTTTTTTAGTTTTTTTTTGGAAAGCTTTGGTTTATGGGTATTTTATTTAGATTTTTAAATGAGGGAAATGATCTTTAATTCGCAGGGAAAGGGGGTATTAGAAGTTTCAGAGATTTCTCTTTGGAGGGAAGTGGAAGGACTGTAAGTCTGGGCAGTGAGCCTACTTTGGTTTTGGATACGAGAAGAAGTCCAAGCTCTCTTACATCTACCTCAATCCCATGTCTTCTTCCTTGGGTGGAGGTGGTGGCTTAAACGACACAGCCGCCGGCGTGGTGGCAGCTCGGCTGCAATAGCTAAACCGGACAGTTGTGTTGGGGATGGTGGTTCCTGGAAGGACTAATGGGCCTTAGAGCTTCAATCTATTCCAACTGCACAGAGATTGTTAACGGTAGCATCACCGGAGTAGAAAATGTGGCTTTAGAATGGAAGACTGGGAGAATATGTTGTCGGAATTTGTAGCTTTGCTCAGCCAAGAACAATTGCTTTTCCGATGGATCATGGGCAACATAGATGACCCATCTTCTGGTTTTAAACATTGCAGGGTGGGGGTTCTTCGAAGTTTGAAGGCAAGATTTGGAATCGTTGACCAAGGCTTTGCGTTGGAATCTGTTGCTGGAGGTGCTTCAAGGAGCGGTAATGTAATGAGTACCACCGGTTGATTTTTTGCCGCCGGTGGACTCTATGCTGTTTGATGTCAGTTGTGCAGTGGAATCACCGGTGGTGTAGTACATGGTTAGGGCTTGAGGAGAAAATGGGAGGGAGTTCGAATGAATGAATTCTTTTCATTTTTTGTCCTTTTCTATCCGGTTCAACCAAATTCATTTCATTAACAGAGTTCGAACATTAACGGGAGGTTCATTTTAAAGAGGGTGACGTGTACACCTTTCTGTTGGAGGGTACACACTTCCCGTGAATTGAGGGGTTCACAGGATTCGCTCTCCACCAAAGGATGTTGGCTGAGAAGTCAGCTGGAAGAGATGGCAGGCGATACTCAAATCACACATTCACACTTCCTAGTGAGAAATGGAATAGCTTGGAATTGCTACAGGACGCTAGGACCATCACTATGGCAAAACCTATGGTGCATCACTCATTGCAGCAAAAGATTTGTTGAACGTAATGGTACGTACGTTTTACAGTTTGTTAAACATGAAAATATGCTTTGTGAAATGGGAATCAACGAAAATTAAGCAGATTTTAATATGATTGATTGAAATTTATATTTAATATGCAGCCAATATTAATGAATATATAATTGAACTATTTACTATTATTGTTATTATTTATTCTATATATATATATATTTAATATATGTCAAATAATTTGAGCCAAAAAGAGGAACAAAATTATGGCCTACAAAATAAGCCTTTTTTATGAACACATCTTTTATTAAAAATGAAAGTTTGAATGGATAATATTAATTTTTACATAAAAAAGGGAATGGATAATATTATTAATAAGAAAAACCCCAATACAAGGTGGGATATATCATATATATACATGGATTATTTACACCGGAGGATTGATCGATGCAAAGGGTTCTGATGTAACCGTTTTTGGTCACGTACCATTTTTTGTGATGTATAAATTTTTTGGCTAAGTACCTCGTTTGACCTGGTGGTGACGTGCCTTGGTGATGAGTGAAAGAATGGTAGGATCCATCCAATGGACGCCATAAAGGTTGCGGAATGGGTGGGCGAATTTCAAAAATTTCCTATCTTCTCCCAACTGGGAATCATATTCCCTAAATTTAGAATATATTATTCAAGAATCTTACTTGAACCATAATCAAACCAGATCTATACCAAAAGGTAAATGGGAGGAATATACCTGATCCGGAGAAGCACTATCTCCCAAAGTTGGTGTTCACGCCCAAAGAACGCTCCAAGATCCGTTCCTGCTGAAGATGACACAGCTGTGGATGGAACAGAACCAGCAGGGTGCGTCCTACACAC